CCTTACCCCCTACCTGTAACTACCTCATATATATATATATATATATATATATATATATATTATATGGGGGTATAACCCTTTCATTTCATCCTGTATCACTGTGCCCAGTTGTGCTGATTTGGTAGTTTTCCGAAATTAGATGGGAAACACACCCACGGGGGTCCAACCTCCCACGTTATGTGGAAAAAATTAGATTACAAAGTTTTCATTGCCACTAAGAACGTGACGTCATATACATTAAACTTGAGTACACTGATTCCATATCTTTATCAGCCTACTATTATAGGGGCTGAAAGGTGTGAACAAACAGACACAAAACTTAACTTCATATATTAGATATTTTTGTGCGCCAGCAATACCAAGCGTGGGGCGCGCGTATACTTGATTCGATTTTATTACTCATCAGGATCTCTACCAGCCTACCCTCAAATTGAAATTATCTTAGGAAGGATTAGAGTAAATTAATCTATGAGACCTTGAGTGTGGTCAAATACATCAATCGACAAGGTTTGACCTCCTGAGTACAAAACTGTAATTAAATTTCAAATCGGGCAAGAGATGACAGAGCTTAAAGTTTGTACTTGGAAAACAAAAACTCAGAGCCAACCTATGAGCCGCTATGCCGCGACAAATAATGTGAACTTTATTGCCTCTGAATCTAAAAATATAATTGAAAGTTTTCTACCACGTCTAAATTTTCAGAGGCCAATTGGAAATCCATTTGGATGGGCTATAATGATTATATTGAAACAAAATTACAAACAAAGCAGTATTTTGACAAACAGTTTATTGATTACATTTAAAGGCAAAATACAGACAAAGCAGTTTGTTGGCTACATTTACTATTTTGGGCCTGGCTTTGCCAGGTGGTTAGGGTGCTCGACTCGCAATCTGAGGGTCGTGGGTTCGAATCCTCGTCCCACTAAATATACTCGCCCTTTCAGGCGTGGGGGCGTTATAACGTGACGGTTAATGCCACTATTCGTTAGTAAAAGTGTAGCCCAAGAGTTGGCAGTTGGTGGTGATGACTAGCTACCTTCCCTCTATTTACTATTTTTACCGTGTATAGTGAGACAAGTATGGTGGGAGTGAGTTCAGTAAATTTAACTAATTAATACTACGGCGTCTTATTCTGAACACCTTGTATTTTACTGAAAAGTACATATAATATTTTGATATCAATCTTGTATTAGCTATAATGCCAATATAATATGTGCATTAAATATACTAAATATACAATTTATACGCGCGCACAAAGCTTGGTATTGCTAGCGCACAAAAATGATAATAATCATTCGTTGAAATTCCCCATTACGTTTGATTGGTTGTCAAGGAGACACATTGACACAACATTATAAAATTTTGTCCATTCGTAACCCTCGGCTACAACTCTATAATAACCCGCACGTTTTACCCACAACACATTTCAATTTTGAAAATACCAAAATTAAAACACGCTTTTCAGCTTAGCAGGCTAACAAAGCCAAAAACAGGAAGATAGTCCAAATAGAAGATCCCGAAATCTAGATCATAATACAATTTCCTGTCTTTACTATCACAATTAATAATTTGTAGTGTCATACAGTTGACCAAGTAGGAATATGTCTTTGAGAATCAGTTTTATTGCATGTTTCAATCTATAAGGATTTATCAAGAAGAAAGTTTGGACGTAACTTAAAAATATACAGGAGTCAAAATGTTAATCATGCAATATTTAAGGCAGATGACTAAATATACATAAAAAATGTTGTTTTCGTGAAATACTAGAAATAGGACAGTCATTCTCCATATATATATTGTTACTAGATTATAAATAATTTTTAGAAAACATATTCATAAAACATTTATTTAGATCTAATTTTGAGAAAAATTAATCATTATTTCCTGTCATATGATGGCCATTCAGCTTGTACTTTATATATTTTAGCTGTTTTTTCCTGGGAGACTTAAATCTTTGTTAACCAGTGTTATGGAATTTTTGAAACTTACTTAAAATGCCACATTTTCAAAAAAACACCTTAATTCTTTACTGTAAATAAAAAATATTTCATATAATAAGTGTATATACAAATATAGAAAGGAAAGTTTAAGAAAATACAGAGAAATCGAAAGACCATTACTGAAAATAAAGCTTTTTTCTCCATATCTTTCCAACTGCTTAGTTTTAACCACACAAGCACTCGATAGGTTCCACTCATGAATTTTCATGTTGAATACTTATTTAAAATTTCCTTTAAAAATTACAGTGAAATGTGTACTAACTTTATAGTGTTCAGAATGTTTACAGCCTAATCAGAAACGACGCTTATTCCAATTCCTGTCATATTCGTCAATCGACTTAAGCTCCCATCACCAATTTATGTATAAATTTTATAAAATTCAAGCTTTTGAGTTGTTAAATAAACAGTATCTCGATGATATCGATGATTGGTTTAAATGCTAAATATTTCCGAGCGCCACCTATGCTATCAGACGCGAAGGTCTAAAGTAAACGGCGAAAACACTGTAAATGGAATGATCAGTCTATGGCTATTAAACATATTTGACAGAGATTTATTGTAAGCTCCAAAGATCTGTGGTCTGAAGTATTATCTGATCTATCTGTTTTAATTGCTTTTACTGCCCCAAAAAAGCATCTCTTTGCAAGAGCTTTTATACCCGATATTCTGATTCCAATCCTAACCACAATGTCAGTTACTATTATTGACCCAACTAAGTCTACAAACAATTAAATCAGAAATAATGAAAACGTACATGATACTTACTTAATAACTATGTTTTCCTATAATATTTCGAATTTCTAAATACAAGCAAATCACAATGTGATTTATAATTTCAAATAAATCCACTAAAACAAATATATTTTCATTTTATAAGATCAAAATACAAAGGTAACATTCCGTGTGAATGAATTATGTTAATAAAGTGTGACATAATCTTATTTACAAGACTATCCGCTTCTCTGCAAGTTATTAAGTTGTTTTGTATTGATTTGATACTTTCTACGTCATAGTCTTTAAAAACACCAGTATTTGATAAAGTTATTTGTATCTTTAGTTTATGAATGATATATTTTTAGTATTCCTAATGAGGTATGTTCTTTGTGAAATATTATTAGATTGTCAAGATATACGAGTTAAGTTTGTGAGCAAGCGTTTTTTTCCCAAGTTATTTAGACAAGTCCTTTGGGAAGTTTTACTATACTCTCATTGTTTATGAGTTGTATTATTTTATAAATGCGGTATGCTTTATCTATTATATAAATTATATAAGTTTAAAAACTTAATATGATATTTATGTTTATAAGCTATATTTTATTTGTATAAAGAACGTTATGATTAAGTATTTAAATGCTTTGTTCGGGAACCTTATTTTTTATATTTATTAGCTGTTTCCTTTGTATAACTGATAATTTTGTTAAATATTTAGTTAGATTCTTCAATGCTTATTATTTTTCTTTTACACATATAAAGAATAAACGTTATTAATTATTTCTTGACTAAAACCTGATGCAGTTTCTGTGTTTATTACCTATGTTTTGGTGTTAATAGTATAGGTATTATTTTTGTATACATATATATAGTTAGAATAGGATATGGCTTCTTAATCCTTTAAATATATATTACGTGAACATTAATCTATGATTTACTCAGCTAATGCTTTTACTTACTAAATATATCTAGTGCCTAAACATAATATCTTAGGTAGATTTGTTTTGTGGGTAAACTTGACACATATATAATTGTTTCATGGGAAATCAAACCCCTGTTTGTTTGTTATGAATTTCGCGCAAAGCTACACGAGGGCTATCTGAACTA